CAGAAAATGATTATGATACAATCAAGAATATGCCGAGGAGCGAGGTCTCATCCCCGCCTCGCCTGGCATGGTTCTTCTAAAAATCACCAGATCTTTGCCCCGCCCTGCCCCACCCCCAAAAAAGTAATAATATGTCACCACTGATATGTACATCACGATTAAGGTTTTTTTTCTGTAAAATGTATCAAATTTTTCAATCTTTAATAAAATTTTTTATTATTTAATTATTCCTGATGAATAAATACCAAAAAAATAAAAATAAAATAAAATTATGCAGCAGCTAGTTAAGGTAAGGCTGCGGATTTAGTCTCTCTCCCCCTGGGTTTGTATATCTTTTGATTATATTTTTTTTTGCTTGTACTTTCATTGATTGGTGGTAAAATGAGTGATTGCTCAAAAGCAACATACATCCACTTTTTTTTTTTTCTCCATTAAAATTGTCTCCAAAGTTTTCACTGAAACATTTTTAATCATTGCACAGAGACATCGATACTGTGACATACTATGGAAACGACCGCCAGGAGCTGTCCTGCACTGGGACTTGACACAGGGGGAAAGGGGCCCCTGATGGAGTAAGAATATACAGGCACTAGTCCGACACGATGTCAGTAAGAGAGACAGAAAGAGAGAGAGCACGCCCGTTAACATGGGGAATGTTGGTTTTGCAAGTTTTCTCAGTATTTTGTTTGCTTTTTGTCTTTTTTTTTTGTGTGTTTTTCAATGGCAAAGAAATTTAACCTCATCTATAGTCCTCCTTGGGATATTCTAACGTGACCAAATTCCCAAAGCCCATTCGCAAGCTCTCCATGTCAAACGTCTCAATCTCTCGCTCCTGCCTTTCCAACAGAAACTTTATCCTCTCGCTGCGTTCCTTCTGGAGGGCGGCTAGCTCCTCTTCGATCTGGAAGAAGCAGAGTCAGCAGCCCCTTCGCAGAGCACGACCGCCCTGGGGAGCACCGGGCGCGCCATGCCGACCCTGCCAGCCCACCGAAACATACCTTCTGTTCAAGATGTGCCCTGCGCAGCGACACCCGTTGCTCCAGCTTCTGGAGTTCTCTTTCGTGCTGTGCTTCTGTCTGCATCTTAATTTTGCTCTGGTACGCGTTGAGCAGCTCCATCTCCTGCTGGAGTTGCAGTCTCAGGGCTTGGCATTCCGCTTCTTGGGCCTCATCCAGCCGTAGCTGTAAGACCATTGGGAAAACAACAGTCAAACCTCCACTAGGAATTTCTCTGCTCCCACACTAGTGACACACTGCCCTTCCTTCTCAAAGCCTTTGGTGCTGGTGGCAGCACGAGAAAGCAGGAAGGGCTTCAGAAACGGCTGCTTCCCAACTCGTGCAGGGGCAGAAGCCTCAGAGAAGATCCAACTAAATCCCCAGCACGCTGGGGGCAGCGGGGGAAGGAAGCGTGTTCTGCGGGATGCTTATTACAAGAAAGTGCCGCCTGATGCAGCACTTAAAACAGCTGTTCCCAACACAACCGCATCGCTAACCGTCCAGCGGCAAGGGCAGGACACAGCGTGCTGCAAGCACTGTGCCCCTCCTCCATGCACCTCTGTCGGGGACCCCCCGCCCAGGGACGGGAGATGCCGGGTGCTGCACCTACCGCTTGGGAGGCCATCATCTCGTTGATGCTCTGCTCATACTGCTCTGCCAGGATGGCGAGCTTCCTCGTCTGTTCGTCCTTCAGACTCTTCAAAATTGTCTTGTGCTCACTCTTTGGAGTTACTTCCAGCTGGTGATTCTTCAGTGCTTTGTACTGCTTAGTTTGCACTTTGCATGTGTCCTGGAACTGCTTTTTGATCTGCATTTCCATAGCCTGCCAAGGAAGGAATGACGTGAAGAGCACGAAGAGCTTTGGGGATGGAGAGGTTACAGTACATCCAAATGGGCAGGCTGGCGAGTGACAACCGCCGTTCCCCTGCGCTCCACGCTCTCTCCTGCCCCTGTGCCCGGGCGAGCAGGCTGTGCTTCGCACACACAGCGATCTAACGGGCAGCATCAGCACTGGCCTGCTCCAGCACTGACCACGAGCCTGGGCCAGCAACAGGATCCACTAAGCCCTCCGCAGCCCAGGGCACTTCCATCCCCTGCCCCTGCTTCCTGCAGGTCACCCAGCCTGTCACCCTGCCACCTGCCTCCCAAAAAGCGTTTGCTTTTTCAAGGCCTCCCATTTTGCTACCTCGCCAAGGCCTCCACAAGCTTCATCCCCGACCTCGACCATGCGCTACACAGAGATTGCAGATCTGAGAACTAGCAAAGCTGTGACAAAGTGCATAAAAGCCACGTGCCTTTTTGGACATTCAGAGGAGGAACAGAAATCTCCCACAGCAAGCAGCTCAGAGGTTTCTAATCAACCCGCAGCCAAAGCGTGACAGAGCACAGTGCTCGGCACACCTCCGTTCTCTCTCTCTGCTGACTTTGAAAGTTAGGAACCATCACCCAACCCCTTTCCTTATCAAGGTTTATAGGCTGACACCAGCAAGGGCCTGAAGAAAGCACAGCTCATCAGGAGCAAGTTCTGTACTGCTTTGCTAAGGGCTTGCCTGTTTTTACCCAGCAGCCTCAATTAGGATGGCACTTAAAAAAAAAACCCTCCGTGAGCTCTTTGCTGTAACAGCCTGCAACTTTCTTACACTGGAGGAGCCTCCACAAAGGAAAGGGATGCAAGGGAGAGCACACGGTGCTGGTGGAGAACAGCGGTTCTGCAGCATGGATACTGCACCGAGGAGGCAGCAAGCAGACAAGACCAGTCTGGCTGGCAGGATGGGGGTTGGAAGAGGAAGAAGGAAAGCTTCCAGCACCTTCAGGTTCTTTGGTTGCTGCCGGAGCTCCATGAAATGCTTCCTGTGCAGCTCCCGCTCTCGCCGCTTGTTGTATTCCAGCTGGTTCTCGAGCTCAGTCTGGTGCTGCAGCCGGATCAGGTCCATTCGCAGCTTCTGCAGCGTGTGCAGCTGCCTGTACTCCAGCTCGCGCGTCGACTCGTCGTGCCGGATCAGCATGGCATGCTCCATTTCCTTCTGGGTCCGCTTCTTGTTTAACTCCTGCACAAGAGGACAGCAGAGCACAAGACAAAAGCTGAGGAGTGATCCTCTCTGCCCCGAGATGCAGTAGAGTTTGCGAGGCCGGGTCTGCTCGTCACTCCTCTAGACAGCATCAAGGACTTCCATATGCCGCAAACACAAACCCAGCAACACGACAGGAACGCTAACAAACCAGCCACCTCGCATCCCTCCCTCCCTCCCCTGTGACCGGCTCCCCTGGCAGCTCCTGGACCACCCAGGCAGTCTCCAGCAGGTGGCACTGGGACCACAGGCGAGCCCTCTGCCACTGCCGAGAATCACACAAGTTTTTAATAAATAGATCCTGGGGTGCTCATTGGGCTGGGGTGACTGAAGGAATCGGGGGCTCTTATTTGTCTGTTTTAAATTACCCTGAACCCCTGCTAGACCCTGGGAGATGAGGCATCTCTCATATCACTAATACTAGAATGGCCAAAGCAGAGGTGAACAGCTCTAACACACCACATCAGGTAAGAAAAATAATTTAATCTACCACTGTGTATAGGTGGTTTTCAGACCCAGGCGCAGCACTTTTTTTTTTTAAAATGAGGACACAGCCCAAGCCTCACACAATTCACAGTGTGCACATAGGAGCTCCTGCACATGGTGCCCTGCAGTCTAGGAAAACCTTCACTGAGTTACCAGCCAAGGAAGAGGAAGATACCGGATTCTCTCCCTGACTACAGCTAGTACTTCTGTCTCAAGCTATCAGCAACAACCTGTGGAGCATGGAGCTGAATCCAGCTCAGTCAAGCAGTGGTTACAGCTGTACCCCTTGCTGGTGATTTGGTGACCTTCACAGATGGTCTGCTGGTACCTCTCTGTTTCAGCTCTCAGGTTTACAAACTCGGGCCCGAGCTTCACGCTAGACTAAAGACAGGCACAGCGGGGGCTGCCTTGCACTACACACACGGTCCCCAGCACAGGGAGGACCCAGTGTTGGCTCAGTCTAACGTGTTTCTGCAGCAGAAGCAAAAAAAAAAAAAAAAAAAAAATTAATTATTCTGAGTTGCTGCTTGCATGTTGTAATCCTGTTGTAATTCTCAACATCAGCACCTGCAAACAGGCACTTCAGCCCCTTTGGCTGTTACAACTGTGGTGGGTTTAAGCAAGAAGAATGGGGAAGGGAACAGGGCCAGGTCTTGTCTCTGCATTCTTGGCCATAAGGATGTTGGACACATTTACGTTTAAGCAGAACTTGCACCTTGACAGCCAAGATAAAAATTAGATCTACTGGCACGCTGAAATCTTCTCCCACTTGCGCAAAGGCAGGCAGCACACTCGGACAGCACGTCAGCCCACTTGTGCCTTCATCTTAGGACATGACAACCAGCCTCTCTGGTGCCCATTCCACACCTGATTTCAGGTGACAGCATAAAGAGGCACTCCACTTCTCACAAACACTTTCCCATTTGTATAAAAAAGAACCTCTGTGGTTACTTAAAAGATTAAGAAAAAACAGTCCTGAAGTGTTATTTAGATTTACTTCAGCTGTCCGATCCAGTGAATTTGAACCAGTTAGAAGGGACATTATTTTCAGGAAATAAGCACTGAGATCATTCTGAAAACTAGGTCTCTTAAGAGCCTAAATGCAGGACCTCAGGAGTGCTTCCTGGTTCAAATACCATGCTAGGCAACTGAATTCTGTTCTCATCCCTGCCACAGAGCTTATATGCTGTGATAAAGGTACCCATATCTGATTTTTCAGTCATTCATTTTCAGGGTGTCCCAGCTGAGACGTCTGGATGGGATTTGCAAAGCAGCTGAGCAGCCCCAGGCACATCTGAAGTCAAGGGCAGCAAAGCTCCGAAGAGGTAAAACACAGGGCAATGTTAAGTATGCTGGAAAATTTGATGGTAGCAGACCAAGTACATGATTATTAGAAATTTTTGACCACTCACTCTCAACCTTTGCTAAAAAACCTTCTCATCTGATAGTCTTTATCCAAACATAACATTTGTGAAGAATTCAGATACTGTAGTGATGACCACAGAAAAATCTACAAGTAGTAATTCCTTCTTCAAAGTGGTATTTGACTACAGGCAGCCTCTAAGGCAAGGGTTAATAACTAACGAGGAAAAGCAAGATGTTGAATAGCTTCTCATTAACAAAGTATCACCCATTCTGACTACTAATTTTAACAGAGCCCAATGGAAAAGCAACATCTGATTATTTGTAGACAACCAGCACACAGACAAAGATGACTGAATTTTTGGTATTTCCTACCTTTGTAGCATTTCATTCTGCACCCTTAATACTGTTTTTTTTAAGGTTATTACTGGTTTATTACACATTTCAAGTGTGTAAGTTTTCTTTAGCCCACAAGTAGAACTCCTCACACTATGCTTTCAGCCATCCCACAGCTCTCCCGCAGGTGGCCCTAGCACTCAGCACAGCACAAACCGCTCTGTGCTGCGAGAGCAGCCCAGCAGGAGCCCCCAAAATCTAACACCCAGGAGCTCAGATGAAGCACCTGACCCAGAGTGGGTGGGCCACATAATGTTTCTGTCAGCAATTCAACCTCCTCAGCTAATAAAAGCAGCCACATCTATGTGGAAAATTATTTCCTCAAACCCTTTTCCTACATTTTTCTCAGTTGTTTAGCAACTGGAAACACGAAGATCTAATGTCAGTCAAACTGTTTCACAAACATGAAGCTAAAACAATTAGAGAAATGCTTGGGAAAGGAGGTGAAAAGGGCCATACCTCCCGAATGTTCTGCTGCTCCATCTCGTGCCTCTTGATCATCGTTTTTCTCTTGAAGAAACGGCAGTTTTTGTCATAGTAGAGTCTCTGCTGGCTGAGAAGATGGGCCTCCTCTTCAGCCTGTGTGTGCTGCAGGTTCTCTTTATGTTTGGATATTCTTTCTTGCTTCTCTTTCTTCGGTGTGCTGTGGTCCTCATTCATTTCCTGCATGCATACAGGGTCAAAACCAAGACCTCCCTTAGGTTCACAGTGACACAGGACTTGGGGGACCTTCAGTCCCTGGCTACTCCTCTGCCATTCAGTTCACAAAACGACACCAAAATCCTCACTACACCACCAGGTACCAGCAGAACCAGACTCATCACCTGGCCATGCCCAGCCCTGCTGCCTCTAGAGTTGTATTATGACCCACCAAGAGGCAGAGGAAAAAGTGGCCATTAAACACAAACATCTCGGGGGGCTAAACAGTGCAGCAGTGAAAAGACAGTAACACACCACGGCAGGGGATGCTCTGGCTGCCCAGGAAAGAGACTGGGTCAAACCCCTCGGCTCCCTTCCCAGCTTTGCACCTGCTTGACAGAGAACTCCACCTTGGGCTTAAGTTTTACTTCAACAGGACTCATGCTTGATTCTCTTTTGAATCAGACACCTAACAGGGCTCCTTCCTATTCATTTTCTCACCTCTACATTCTTAACAGCAAATGATTTTTGCTATGTGGTGGGGACACTGTACTTAAGTAATGCAATTTGGGATATATATACCAAGTTACTTCTTTTTCTAGTTCATAGAAGCGATCACAGGGCTTTTAGTCAAGCGACATCTAAATGGCTGCTCTGATTACTTACAGCTTAAGTGAAAAAAAAAATAGATGAGGAAAAAGGGGAAGAATAATTCTCTGTGAAGCCCCATTTTCCCTCATCACCCTTGGTTTCAAAGATTCTGCTCTACAGCAAATTGTGAAGGCACCTCTAGCACCCTTACAGATTATTCTAGAAATGCTGCCAGATGCTCCCAGGTCCTCAAAGTTTACTTGCTGAGAATCTGAATTTCCTTCCAAGCATGACAGTATCCCTTAAGCCCCTGGGCTGGCCCAGGTTTATCAAAACAAACACCACACCCCTTCAGCCCTGAAAATGACGGTTTCTTGCCTCTTTAATCTTTTCCTTGCAAAGCTTGTATTGTTTCTTCTGACTTTCTAAAAAGGTCGCCAGGTCTTTCTTTTGCTGAGCCAAAATCTGTTGCTGGAATTTCTTTTCATCTGCTGCAGCTGCCTTTGCCTGCAAGGCACAGAGAGGGGAGGAGGGGGAAAAGGGGGTGAGCGAGCCAGTACTGTATCCAGCACCAATCAGTCTTCTGTTGTGCGTTTTTTGGTCTGTCGTTCTTCCATCACTGTGCTAGACAAAGCCATAAGTATTCAGCCACATGAAAGCTACTTGCACAAAAACTCTATAATGCCCACGTACATTTAAGAGTTTCCTCATGCTTCTTACCTCTCCACCAAAACCACCCCCGAGGGTAAAACCCCACTAACTTACCATATGGATTAATATGTCGATTTTTAAACAGACCGAATAACAGCAGCAAGCTTTGTCCTTCCCTCAGCCATGAGGCAGAAGCTCCCTCCAAGGTCTCCACAGAGTCTGCCAGTCCCTTTTAGCCAGCTGTCACTAGCCACAGGACTGGTCGATGGCAGTGGAGCACCCAGCATCCAGACCGTTGACTTGTAGCTATGAGGTGATTTCACAAAACTGGCCAGGGCAGCTCCGGACAGTAACCACACAGTGCACTTAAGAACATGGGTTTTAAGCAGTACTTCCACAGCCTTCTCTCAAGAGATCTGGTACACACCTCTCCCTCCAACCTTCAGGTACAGCTAGGGAGCCTGTAAGTCTACTCACCTCTTTCTCCATCACAGCCACTTGCTTCTTGGCCAGCTTCTCCAGCTCAATGGACGAGTTGTTGGCATGCGTTTCCACCTCCTTCTGCAGCTTGAGGCGGTGCTCGTCCATCTCGGCCTTCAACTTGTTTTCCAGGGCGATCAGCTGCTTCTGGTGCTGGCGCCGCATCCGCTTATATCCTGACATCTGTTCCCGCAACTCGTTCTCCTGCTCATGCTCATGGATCTGTCTTGTAACCTGACCAGGAAAAGGGGAAGAAGTGCTACGTGGCCTTCTTCACAGACAAGCTGTCTCCATATTAGCTACTTACCTGTAAACCAGACCCTGCTTTGCTGTACTCTCAGAAATCAACTTTCAGGGAATGCTCTTGCAGGTTTCAGAGGGTGCTATTGTTTAATATCACAAACCAGGCCATAAGGCTTCTCTCTCTTGGTTTCCGACACCACCACCCCATCTTTAACGAGAATTTTACGTGTGTTTTCAGTAACAGAGCAGAAAAATGTCACATAAGGAATAGAAGAAACAGCAGGTTACTAATCACTCCAGGAAACACTGGAAGAGATCTGGAAACAAAGGTGGCTGCTGGACGACCTTCAGACACAGGACTCAAATCCTGAGGGTGACATGGACTTACAAGATGGCATCCCTTTTAAGAAACGTCCTCAACCCACCCATTCTTTCCTTGAAGTCACCACAGTTCCAATTCAGTCCCTCAATACCTGTTTCCTGCAACAAGTAGCCTCCTTCAGAATTTCTTCTTAAAATTCAAGAGGGTGGCAAACTAAGCTCATTCCCTAACGGAATTGAAAGTTTTCTAACAAGGGAATACTGTTCTGGAACTGTGTGCTCTTAACAAGATTGATCAGATGGTTTAAGCAGATTTTAAACCCTGCTCAGCTGAAACAAACTCACAAGTTCCACATTCATTTCCATGCCCAAGTGTATCCGTGTGAAAAGAAGAAAAAACTGCAATACGTTGTGCCAAAAATTTTCAGAAGAAAATGCGAATGGTAATGCTTCCCTTTCAAAAGAAGAAAAGTGTCCAGAACTAACCTGGTTTTTTTGTGTGTGTGTGGTTTTTTTTTTTTTTTTTTTTTTTTTTTTTTTAATACAGTCCCAGGAACTTCACATATAAAGATCTGCTGATCTTTTTATATGACAGTCCTGGGAGCCAAAAGCTGGAGCCCTTAGCACATGTGTAGAGCCGCAGTCTGGGACTCTGTATGAGGGGACCCTCTCCTTTCACACTTAACAAGTACGAAGCAAAGACATCAGCCCTTTGAGGGCTATTATTGAAGCTTTATGAACCAACAGCTCTTCCTGTGGTCTGCAAGAGCCCAGCCTTCCCGACAAATTTCTTCATAGCAGCCAAGAGGAAGAACCGGCACCTACTACAGTACAGCTGTCATTCAAACGCTGTTTTTCAGAGATCTTCAAAGTAAGTTCAGATGTAGGATGGGATGCACCTACAGACCTGAGAAGGCTCAAGTTCAACAGAAGAGCAGCTGCTTTACCAAGCAGCAAACCAAGCCCACTTGCTGGCAGCCCCCCTGTGCTTCAGGACTAGTAGCTGATAGGAAGCAGTGATCAAGTAAGAGCTCCAAAATCAACAAGCAAGTTTAACACCACCACTGATGTGTCACCCAAGGCAGACAGCATGCTGCCACTTGTCTCAGCTCAAATGACTACCAACACCTGGGAGGGGTGTGAAGAGGAGGTTAGGAAGAGCCTTCCAAAGCCTTCACCTTGAAATAGATCAACAGCAATTTACAGTAAGTAGTTGCCAACCAAGAAAAGTATAGCCCAAGTCCCAGAATAGAAACAAGACACACAGGATGAAGCTACTAGATAGCCTCTGTTTTCCCCCATCCCTTCCAAAGACAGCCCCAGAGAGAAAACTAAACATCTAATTGCAAAGAAAACAAAGAACTAGCCTGACTGTGGTGCTACGTCATTACCAAGAAGCGATGATGGTGCGTTCACCACATTAGTGCAGTCAAACATCAACTACGAGGTAAGTGATGATGCATAAATCACATCCTCCTTGTACAAGGAATTTTGGGATGTTATTTTGAAGTGGATTGGATTAAATATACACTTATACCTCAGCAATTTGTGTAACATAGCAGCCTTCAAATGCTTGAGACTAGGTAATGAGACAGATCTAAACCAGACACCAGGAATATGTGAGATCATAGAAATGACTACAGAAACACACACACAGTATTAGCCCTGTGTATTGCTATAAGTTAAAAAAAAAAAAAGCTTTTTGAAGTGTAACAATGACAGCCATACTTTGCAGAAGTTGGTAAGCATTTGTAGGAACTTACACATTTCAGTCACGTTCAGCAAGAATAAGATCTCTGACAGAGGCTTCCAGGTAATGAAAGTTCCTCTGAGAAGTCATCCAAGTTAATTATAAGAGACAGATGTCAGGTAAGACAGGCAAACCCCCAACATCTCACATATGCCATTTACTACGTTAACTGACATACGACTTGCAGAGAACAGGCTTGGTCAGGGACTTGCGGAGACACGGAGATACGGTAACCACCACGCAGCAGCACAAGATCTTCCTGGATGTGCTATTTTTGAGGCCTGGCCTTTTTGTGAGCAGTGGGACGTTCTGCACAGCACACTCCGTTCCAAGAAGTTGGCAGAACAAAGCAAACAGAAAGAGCATAAGAAAAAGTGGATCTAAGAAACCGCTAACAACTTTGCCAGTTTCCCCTTTGGTGTAATGTCTAATGAGATGTGGAACGTGCACTTCTTTTATTTACAGCAAAAATCATTATCCTTATTTTTTTTTGCTGCTCCTGTGCACCCCATTTCCAGTTTTACTCAGCTTGTCTCTATCAGGACAAGAATTCCATCTTTGAAGGACTTCACATTAGGTCTGGGCTATCTATCCCCAACAAGAGGATGCAATTACTAATTATGACACTAGCTGATAAAGCCTTCTGGTCACAGCAAAAGATGAGACATTAACAAAATCAGAGGAAAACAAAAGCAGCATTTCACTCCTGAACACAAAAGAGAAGGAGAAGAGTAGACTTGCTGGACATCTCGTAGATTTAATGTCTGCATTCAGCATGCTCATGCTAAAGACCTAATTTACCACCATAATCTCCAAGACCAACACTCTTCAGAACTCCAGCTTCGAAGACAGGGTCTCCCAATGGTGATCTCAGAGCATGGATGAAATTGGAAGACATTAACATTAGCTACTGAATACGACCAGCTCCGTACCAGAGGAGTACTTCAGACTAAGCATGTCAACACGTGAATGAATGATTATGGTTTAAAAATGAAGCCCTTGGCAAATTAACAGCTTAGGCAACTAAGAGAATTTGGGGAAGTTCCAGTAATAACCTTTCTGGTGTTCTTGGACAAAGGCACTTAGAACTTTACAAAGTAATTCACAAACATAATCCCATAGATTATGATGGGAAAAAAGACGACAACTGAATCGGTCATTGCAAAATTTGTTCTCCACATAACCAGAAAACGTCAGGATCCTTTAAGGCAGAAAACTGCAGTTTCCTGCAGCTCTATCTGCAGCATCCAATAATCAATCAGGTCATCAGCAGAACCAAAAAGCCTGTGTAAAACAGAACAGCTTTTATTAAGGTATGACATTTTCTCAGTTTCTTATCTCTCTGTATCTTTGGCACCCACAGAACTGAGAAGAGAGATGCTTTTTCCAACCTACTCCCACAGGCAGTTTGCTTGCCATAAAATCCAAACTTTCTCTCTTTCACCCCTCCAAGATTTTTGCTTTACGTAAGGAAGTTGGGCTCACAACTTCTCCTCCAAACCAGCAGCTCTTTAGAGTTCCTTTTTCTACACTGCTGAACCAAGATACTGAACACCCTCCTAAAGGACAGTTATTCTCACCTCTCCATAACCAAACAAAATACTGAGCTCCTCTTCGCTGGACGAGGCAGAGTACCGAGCAAGATACTGCCAGCAGCCTCCCACAGCAAGAGAAGAACTTTGAGATGAGAAAGAACAAGTTCAGTATTTTTAGAGCAAAGATCCATAAAGACAGCAGCCAGATGAGTCCATTAGGAGAAACTCAACCATCTGGAATTGCTTCAGCAGAAGAGGGTGCAAGGGAACAGCCATCACGTAAGCGTACCTGGTTTTGGAGTCAGCCTGCCCTGGTGTCACAGGCTGCTCACGCTGACCTAGCCATTTGGCTTTGCAGACCCTGGATGAGATCACATAATTCTTTTGCTGGCATTTGGATTTCAAAGGGAATGCCAAGGGCCTTCGATAGAATCCACACTGTCTGATCTTTCTATGACATTTTAGCTATTTGATCATTTCATTTGAGAACTGTAAAAGCAGCTATGGAGGAAGTGCATGAGTTGGTGGGGAGTTAAGGGGTCAAGCATGAAAGACATCCAGAAATGCAGATCGACGTATCTCTGCATGTATTTAAAAGGCACTTTTCACTTGAAAATGTTGACAGGTGTAGTCTTAACACGCAGAACCTCTACTCCTTTTTAAACAACAGCTTTCTGAGCTTCAAGGCTTAGAATTCTAGTTGTAACTTCTAATTTATGGATCACTGACAGTCTGCAAAATAATATGGAGATGTAGTAGGTACCAGATTTCCATTTCAGATAGTAACTTTCACTGCAACGGCAGAAATATGAAGTGTATTTTCCACCACCGTTCCAAGTGAGTGATGGTTACTGTTGCCACAAGGGTGTTATGCAAAAAAAAAAAAAAAAGGGTGGGTGGGTGGGAGGTTGGCCTACATGATGACCAAAGAGAAAGGTGGTCCAGAAAAGAGTGACTATTAAAATTGTTGCTTGAGTTATGACAAAAGGTAAGCTCCTTCAGCCTTCTTAACCACATTTGCTCAATTTTTTTTTTTTTTTTTTTAACCTGAGAAACATGACAGCGTCAATGAAAGACTAGAAAGATATATTCACAGCCTGTTTCTTTGTGGATAGCCCATTTCACTATTTTATCTGGAAGTCTGTCCAGTTTCCTTCTTTTCACGTGATGGCTTTGCAGAGCAACAGGGCAGGGGAATCATGCCTAAAAGCACTGGAACATCTGGAGTGTAGAGCTGTCTAATGTTCTCGTGTGACCCTGGCACTCGCTGAAACTACCTGAGCTTGTTTTTGGAAAGAGATCCAACTTCCAAGCTGAGAACATCTTTTTAGAAATGCCAGTCTTTCCTCCATCTGCAATAGCCTGATCTAAGGGTGAATAACAAGGACTTGGGGGCCCAAGACTCTGGACTCCACCAGCAGGAGCAGCTGTGAAGCCACATGGACAGTCCCTGGCGCCCCGACTCACTGCTCTTCCTCTATAACGCTGCCCTGCTCTCATGTTGGGGGGTGGTGTTCAGCAAGTCCCACAAGCAGAAGTTTTTACACCCAAGTATCATCCCAAATTATTGAATTTGGGGTCAGAACTCCCATTTTCTGATTCCCTGCCACCTGATGCTCTCAGCTGCATAACCTTTCTGTGCCCAGGAAGCAGTGCCCAGCTGCTGGCAATTCAACTGGCGGTCAGCCGCAATGATTTAGGGAACCATCAAAGCATGCTGGTTTGCTTAGTTTTTAACACTGTGGGATCTCAAGCATCCATTCACACAGGATTAATTTTTTTTAAGATGCCACTGAAAGAGTAAATTAACACGAAGAGATGAATAAAGCCTGAATTTTTGCTTTTACACTGTAAATTTCAGACACGTTTAGGTCATTGTCCCTATATCAGCCCCACTGCTGTCCATGCCCTCCCCACAGATATCTAAGCAGCAGACAAGAGGGCAGGCATGCCTGAAGGTTCCCCTTGGCCAGAAGAGCAGCAGCGTTCAGGCACCACTACCCACTGACATCATCCAGCCACCGAGCAGCGAGCAAATGCACAGCAATAAAAAAGCGTGCCCACCGCCACGCCGGCACGTCAAACCCGAGCATGTACGCTGGCATTCTTCATGTTCTGGGCAATAGGTTTAAACTTAGCTTCCCCCCCTCCGCGATTTCCATTTTGGAGCCTGAAGAGGTGGGAATGAAAGATTATTAAAGAGAAAGCCCATCACAAGGTTAACTGAAATGAAATAAAATATTTCTGTTGTAAGCACAAGGAAACTTCTCCCCTGCCACGCTAAGGGCACAGTAACACCTCCTGTAGTGCCAAGGTGGTGCTTTGGGAACTTCCCTCTGTGCTGGGAAGGGGATGTGTGTGCATGTGATGGGGACAACAAAGCCTTTGCACAATACATGCTGCGATGTGCTTTTCCAAAGGCCTGCTGGCTAACATAGTGAGCTAACGGTGGGACTTCCCTCTTCCTCAAAAAATACCGTGCTGTGCACGTACTGCTCACCTTAAGCATGCACCCTAAGCTCTCCCAGCGTGAGCCCAGACATGCTCTGTATCACGGCACGTTCTACAGAAAACTAAAAAAAAAAAAGTTCTCCAAAAATCCTACCGTCTTCCCCACCCAGTATTAATTTTATCTTTATCATCATTTGATGACCAAAGCAGAGAGATTTGGCAAATCCAAGGAATTAAGGCAGACACAGTCTCAGCCCCACAGGAGGCTGCCATGGGATTTAGGAGTGACCTTGGGACATTAGCTGTCTTCTCCAGGGTTTAGAGGTCTGGGAAGACCTCACAGTCCATACCTTCACAGCAACATCTTTCATCAGCTCCCAAGGGGGCCTTGCCATGCAATACCTTCAAGCCCAGGGATTGACACATTCAAGGAAGACAGGAGTTATGGACTCCGCTGCTGAAGGCAGGACAGAAGGTGCAGCAGCTTTGCTCAGGGAGTACAAGAATATGAATATATTCAACACCCATATCTATTTATCAGTCCAATGGTATATATGTTTGGGGTATGATACTTGAGTCATTCTTCACTTCTTCCCTCCAGCCAACCTAACTGAATCCTCCTTTTATTTACTCAGTGCAGGCAATAGCGTTGGCACTATACTGGGTGCATGCACACACACATACAAAAAGAGAAAAATTCACAAGCCAGAGGGTCTCCAGGAGACCAGAGATCCCGCCTGTGTCAGGTGTGCTGCACGAAGTCCTCTAACGCACACATTTCTAGGTCACTCTTTAATTTGGGGGGAGGAGGGAGGGAAAGGGGAGCAGGGGACACCGGCCTGGGGAGCACCCAGGGTATGGCTACCCAGAAGTACACCTGCGAAAGATGGAACTCAGGTGCTCCCCTCAAACGTCAGCCCACGAAGCGTCTGGCCAGAAGTCTGAATGCCACAGCATCATTTTAGATTTTAAATAGCAGCAGCAACAACCAGAGAGAAAAATTTTGGCTACTGGCACTGCTGCTGGTTTTTTCCCCTCTGCTCACAACCTTTCGCTGTGCTCACACAGACTCACTCTGTCTTGTGCATGTAGAAATGGGAAGCGATGCAGGGGATGAAGAAATGGTGGTATAGAAGGAAAAACCCCACGTTCAGGCAGGGTAAAACAAGAAGGGGAGGGCTCGCCGGCGTAATTTCGGGGTTGGTCTAGGATGATGTCATAGCACCGAGCAAGTGCCATGGCCAAGCAGTGGGCACTTCCTAACGCTCCCCGTCCATCTGACCTCTAATACCACAGGGCTGAAATATTTAAGATGACATTTATTTTAGCTTTAAAAGGCCATTTTTCACTCCTTTCCCTCAAAAACGTTGCTACCGACCGCAGCCCGTACGGACGCGAGGTGGGGGAGGCGGCACGACAACTAACTCTTCCGGCA